AAGTATCTGTACTTAACTTGAGTATTTATTTTTCTATTCATTTACTTTTACCCCCTTACTCCTCCTCATCTTCAAAACAGGTTCCTTCAGTTTTAATGCATTTGAGGGGAATTATTTATTTGTATATGTTGCATCATTGCACGCCTTCCCAACATCAAGACCGGATGACTCATGACGACGTAACAACACGTAATGACCCTATTTGAAGTTTCAGTTAGCTTTGAAACAGTAGAGGTAGAAATGTCCTTCAGAGAAACCAGAGAGTACTTTTTTTACTTTTGGTGCATTTCAGAGCCTGTACTTTTTCACTTTTATGTGAGAAGTTGAATCAGTACTTCTGCTTTTACCAGAGTCTTTTCTTACACAAGTATCAGTACTTCTACTTGAGTAAAGAAAGCGTGTGTACTTTTGTCACCTCTGTTTTTTTCATCATTACCATCATTACTCACTCTACTCACTGTAAAAGTATGCTGATAGATCTATTTTGTTTTGATTCTGTATTGTTTGTGTATCATTTATATTAGCTATGGAGATATAGGGTGGGGTAGGTGAATATGGTGGTGTTCAAAATATGTAAATGTCCTAAAAAGAAAATAAATAGAAAACAGAAGTTAAAGAAACAAACACAACAGAGATGTACAAAGGAAGTCATTTGAATAAGCTGTGATGCAGGAAATGACATCACAGGGGAAGTGAGTGGCAATAAGTGTGAGTGTGTTTGTCTGAGTCTGTCAGAGAGAAAAAAAGAGATGTGATTATACATGTCCGGGGCTTCTCAAGTCATTTGCATTTTACTAGTGAGTCCACAAGATGGCGTAGAAATACAATAATGGCAGCCTAATAATCACATCAGTATTTCAATCTACAGTATTTGGTACATTCCTTCAATGTAATCTAATCTGTGGCCTCCTGTGGCAAAACCAAACACAGGTAAACTGCACGTTGACCTCCATCTGAGTCATTAAAAGGCAGTGAGTGTTAATAAGGATAATTAATAATGATATAAATATGAATAATAATTTAATTGAGATTTTAGAGTCTTGCCGGACGTTACATCCATTAAATTGGTCTTGAGAAGTGGAGATTTCTACGTTAAGCTACTGCTAACTCTAGGTAGTCTCTTCTCAACAAGCAAACCACTGCTTTTATTTTGAAGAAGCAACAGGAAATGGTAGCTAAATACAAGTTTAGCTACCAGCACCTAATTTTTTGGTTGTCAGAAGGTTGGAATTACATCACCTCGGAAAGTATGTGCCCTTACAGCTGAGTCAGCTTCAGTGGGTTTAGCCACAGGGTCTTTCTCTGCACAAAGTCACACATATTTGTCGTGGTGATAGTGTGGGAAGATTGTGAGCAGGAGCTGTAAGGAAATCAACTCCATCAACCACTGAAACCAAACATCCAACCAACAAAATACCCCGTGATACATGCTGACAGTGTTTTGTCTGTTTGTCGTAAAATTTTCACTTCAAAGCCCCCCAACTTCCTCTCCTGTGGTTTAAGTGTTGCCTGTGTGTGAGTGTGTATGTCTGATTTTTACTGATATATCCAATGACATAGCAATATGTGTAGGTAATATTAACAGCATAAATGTTTGAGTGATTCTTTATTTTGTATAAAACAAATGGGATTAAACAAGACTGGTTTATTTTATAAGTAAGAATTTCATGCTCATAATAAACAGTGTCCTCCGGTGACAGACTCAAGTTGTCTGAGGGGCAGGGGCAAAAAAAAAAAACAGGGCACCAGCTGCATGTGGTGAGGCAGCAGTGTGCAGGAAGTCGTAGTGCATTGGTGAAAAACTATCTATTACTACTTTCTAGCATGTAGGGCAGCCTAGAGGGTACTTTATCATGTTTTATCTATCCAATAGGACACTTTTGCAGCACTTTTTGGGGGCTCCAGTGGCGTCTCTTCCCTATGATTTGTGCTGTGAAGAATCCATCCATCAATCCAATATTAATACCAGCTTATTCTTTACAAAGCTGGAGCGTATTCCGGCGCAAAATGAACACAATGTAGTAGTGTGCAATAAGATAAGATAAGATAGGTATATCTTCCTTTATTAGTATATCAGTAAAGGGATGCTTAGAAATAGCTATAAGCAAAGGTCTCTAAACAGTCATATCTATCTTTCAATATTGATGTATTAATGTTTTGCAGATTTAAAAATGTGCTTGAGTCATACAGTCATTGAAGATCAATCAATTGATCAAACAATAAGACAATAAAACACCCCATAAGTGATAAATGACTCTAATCAGTAAATCACCCAAAACAACGCTATCCCATCAATGTGCAGTGATGAAACATACATTAAATTAATAGGGACATTGTTTTTTTTAGAAAAAAAGTTGCTGTTGAATTATATGTCTGATTGCATTTGTATATATTTCTGCATCCTGACAAAGTGGATTTCAATTTGGATGATAAAACTGAACCTCACTTGACTTTCAGCAGCTCTAATAAAAGTCTGTTAACTTTGTGAAACTGGTATCCAGTAGTGCAGGGTAAATCTGTAGGCTTGTATTACTTCTTCTGTAGGTAATGTTAATTTCATAATGATTCTTGCTGCAAGTGACAATGTACAAACACTACAGCCCCATTTCTGTTACAGTAGTCTTACATGTCACTGTTTATAATTTGGCTAGACGGGCTGCATTGAAAAAAATTTGTGGCATAATACTTACTTCTCTTCAGACACCACTGCTGATATCTCAAAACCTCTGCACACAAAACCGAAACTATTGTCTAAATATAGATGGAAAAACATGGGGTTTTTTGTAGTTCAGGCGAAACAAACCTTTAAGAAAAAAAGACATGCATAAGTGAACAATCTAAAAACAAACTCTTGCTGTACTAATTTGTATGCAAGTACAAGTATTTACTGTTTCCATCTGCTTTTTGCTG